CATCTCCAGACTACAGAGATCAGTTCTCCTGGAGAAGATGGCTGCTTTGGAGGGTGGATTTCGTGGCATTGTACCCCACTGAGGTCCCAGTCCTCCCCAGGCTCCATCCCCAAGTCCCCAGGAGTTTCCCAACCTGGATCTGGCAGGTTGGTCGAAGCAGTGTGTTCTCCATGCCGTGGTAATGTGAATGTGGAGGTGCTCAAAGAGAACAGTGGAAATGTTCGTGTTTCCATCAATTTAGAAGATGGTGACAGGTCAGACCCTGATTAGAGGCCAAGTGGGATAATGTTACAAAAGGAACCACATCAGACCACACTTACAGTGCAATCCTAAGAACATTTTCCTAGGAGTAATCTCCACTGACCACACTCCAGTATGATTCTGAGTAGACCTGGTAAGGATTACACTGCTTGCAATAGTACTGCTGATCCTGCATTGTGGCCAGGGGTGGTGCGGCCTGAATGTATAGTGGTAGTTGTTTCCAAAGGTAATTGTTTCCAAAGGGCCAGGTGAAATGGAAGAGATGGCTTTTCCTGAAAGAGTCTTAGGCAATGGTCAGAAGTAGAAAAAGTGCTGGTTTGTATATTCTGAAATCCCAGCTGACACAGATCAGTTCCAATGGAGAAAATGGCTGCTTTGGAGGGTGGACTCTATGGCATTGTACCCCACTGAGGTCCCTGCCCTCCCCAGGCTCCATCCCCAAATCTCTGGGCAGCCAGTTTGGTGTAGTGGTTAGGAGCGTGGACTGTAATCTGGGAGAACTGTGTTTGATTCCCCAGTCTTCCACATGCAGCTGCTGGTGTGACCTTGGGTCAGTCACAAGTTCAGTCGGAGCTGTTCTCTCAGGAGCAGTCCTCGAAAGAGCTCTCTCAGCCTCACCTACCTCGCAGGGTGTCCGTTGTGGGGAGGGGAAGGGAAAGGAGACTGTAAGCTGCTCTGAGACTCCTTCGGGTAGTGAAGGGCAAATCCAATCTCCTCCTCCTCTTTCTTCTACCTGGAGCTGTCCAGTGGGGACCTGGGAGAAAGTTTTATTTTTATTCACTGTATAGACTGCTTTCTCACTGAAACGCAATGTGAGTTGTGTGTGTGCAAATTGCTGCCTGTCAGGTCCCTTCTGATTCATGGCCACTGGATGAATTAATGGCCTCCTCTCCTTAACAGCCTCGCTCGGGTCTTGCAAAATGAGGGCCTTTGTGGCTTCCTTGATTGAGTCCATCCATCTCCTGTTGGGTCGCCCTCTTCTCCTGCCGCCTTCAACTTTCCCTCGCATGATTGTCTTTTCCAGTGACCCTTGTCTTCTCACAGTGTGACCAAGGGCGTATGACACAGTATAAAACAATGCCGTCTAGTACCTAATAAATGGTAGAGCAGGTCTAGTTCTTCGCAGGCTGTGCTATCACTTGCATGGAATTATTCCCGTAGAGGAGTTTTGAAAAACATAATCTCTGGCCTGCAGTCTGACGTCCGCTCCACCATCTCATTTTACTGATGTTCAGGAGAAGTTACTCACCCATAGAAGATCTCACTTGTCTTGCTCTACGAAGAACTGTTTGTTTGTTTTTCTTTGCAAGGATCTCCACTTTGGTTTATTAGATATAGTTGATATTTGGTGTAATGGTTAAGAGCCAGTTTTTGGTGTAGTGGTTAAGAGAGTGGACTGTAATCTGGGAGAATTGGGTTTGATTCCCCGCTCCTCCACATGCAGCTGCTGGAGTGACCTTGGGTCAGTCACAAGTTCTCTCGAAGCTGTTCTCTCACGAGCAGTCCTCGAAAGAGCTCTCTCAGCCCCACCTACCTCACAGGGTGTCTGTTGTGGGGAGGGGAAGGGACTCTGAGACTCCTTCAGGTAGTGAAGGGTGGGGTATAAATCCTATCTCCTCCTCCTCCTCCTTCTTCTTGCCAAAAGACAGGAGGGCAAAGCAAAATAAGGGTGGTTGAATAAGGGGCATGGTTTAAGAGGGCCACACCCAAAAACGCCTCCTAGAGTGGCTTTATAAAAATTTCCTGCTTCCGTTTTGCACTGTGACCAGGGGTCGTTTCGTAGAAAAAGAGCTAGGGGAACTCAGTAGCATAACTCATTAGAATATGCCACACCCCCTGACATCACGGAAGTGTGTCATAAGGCCACACACCCCACCCTCAACTGTCCCGGCCGCCAGCGGCGGCCTTGCAGCTCCACTGCCGAGCCCCATGAGGGGCCCGGCGGTGGACCTGCAAGGCCAGCAGGAGTGCAAGGAAGCCC